TTTTGCTCAAAATGGAACTATCACCATATTTTTACTGTCCCTTATTACACATGAGGAGAAAATTTAAAGATATTTTTGAGAAAAAATTGCCTATATTTCTCGCAAAATCACACGAAAACGACTCACATTTTTGAAAAATTTTACATAAACTTATTTAAAGATCCGTGTTTAAGGAACACATTTCATTAAGAAAAAAGTCTCTATCTTCAATATTACAGTTGTAAGAAGACGCCCAAAAAATTGAGCTTTTTTAATTTCAAAACATCTGTGATTTCAACAAACACGAGACCGTTATCATTCTCTTAAGCGTTCTTTACACTACCCGAAGAACAAATTTTGACTTAAAAAATTTAGAGCCTTTTTAAGAAAATTTTGAAAATTTTTTTAAAGCTTCTTGTGAAGTATTATCAAAAATCAAAATATCAATTTTAAACTCCAAAAATCTTGAGTTCATTCAGATCTATTAAGGAATATTAATTTTGAAGAAACTGGCCTGAACTTTCCTGGTGCTAGTGTTGACCACGGATAGACAGTCGTTTTGCTGTCAATCAACTTTTAGGTGTCTACGATTGGATACTGGCTACCTCACGTGTTAGAGGATTTTTTCTAACAAGAGATATCCACCTTTTTGTTACGAGGGTCCGGCGATAAGAGATTTTCTGCTTAAAAATCCGCCGTTTTCCTGCGGACGATTACGTAAATTTCGCTTTTTACGAAGAACTTTGTAAAGCGAGAAAGTAACAATAAGTGGGAATGACCACGTCGGCGGCGAAGTTAGGGAATGACGACAGGTTCAACATGCATACTTCTTTTCCACAAATGAATTTCGTCTGTCCAAATTGCACGTCGAATGGCCGAGATGTGATCCTTTAGCACGCAATGGGGAAACATAGTTGACCACTGTCTAGGGATTGCCCTAAAAAGCTAAATACAAAATAATTTAAGTTCATTAAGTGTATTCAATCTTGAAGATGCAGTAGACTGTTAGAAAGTATGATATAATATTGTATTTTCAATAACGTATTACGTATTTAGTATTTTCTTGTTTGTAATTGTTCTTTTTCTTTATACTTTCACCGTATTTTTAATACATAAATATGTGTTAATTATTTCTCACATTATTTATTTTATATTTCTCATTTTAAACCTTTACTCGAATGTAAAGTTGTGATTTTCCAATCGATGTAATTAAAAAATAGATAATTTAAGTAAGTAGAAAATAAATAAGTTAGAAGAATTTTTTCAACGTCGTTATAGTAATCAGAGACGAACGGTAGCAATGCTGCAACAGCAAAGCCTTCCAAGTTTATTTCTATGTTTTATGATGTTTTTATAGAATACTGAGTTTTCTCACGTATACACTTTATTCAATTGAAAGTTAATTTCGTTTAAAAAACTGTTATGTGTAATTCCACGTGGGATATTATTGAAATGTTTTCATTATGTGAAAAAGTTTCTTTTAATGTAATCATTAGCATAACAGTGCGTCACTACAGATGGAGTCATCCGAGGCGGTAACGATGATATTGCCCTTTTAATTATCTTCCCTTCCCTTTGTAAAGTCTATTAAATTATTGTAGATATGTGTTTATATGCATTATTTTAAGAAATATTTTCTAATCTATTGACATTCGTGTTCATTTAATTGTTTTATGAACTTTCCTAGTTTTTTTTACAAAAAATTTAATAATATCGTTTAATAAAATAAAAAAGGGCATTTTGGGTAATTCCGTGGCATTGGTTATATCAACAATCATTCCGGTTCTAAAATTGCCAAAACAATTTAAGTACAATGCGAGTTGACGAGATGGATTCAAAACACGAATTGTCCAGTAGTGGCAAAATTTACTTTAATTATTAACTTTTAAGTAATTTATAATTTATATTATACAATTTGTGAAGCCCTACGTTACCGCCTTCTCCCCAATGTCCAGCTGCACTTTTGTGCTAACGCGGACTATCTCAGTACATTGGACACATCATGAAGAGAACTTCAATATTAACAATGTTATTTGTAATTTTTTAATAACAAATTTTAACTGTGCTGTGGATTTCACTATACATGTGAGCTTAATACTTACACTTGGTTCTGTATATGTTATTCTAGTTTTTAGAAAGCATTTTTTAGCTCTTTATTTATATCATGTCGGCTACCTGATGGGCACTAGTTTCTGAAATGTTATTCACAGAATTTGAATAAACCCTATATTGTATTTGACAGTTGCTTATTAGCGTGTACCCATGTGAGCAACTTACTTAATATTTATAGCGACTCTCAAAAAAATAATGTGGGATATTTAAAATATTTGAACTGCAGACTTAGATAGTGAAAATAAGTTCTATATAGAAACATTAACTATGTTTTACCAATATTATCCGATTTATACATATATTATGTATTAATTTTTTTGAAGCATTGCAGAAGTTAATTGAAATGCAAGGGATAATGGAATATATGCCTGTTAAGTATTCGCAGAAAATAATCCATGGGCTTTACAGTCATCGTTTTTACGAAAGTATAATTAAATCGTAATCTCCAACACAAACACACAAAAAACTTAAAATATCAAAAGAAATTTTCCTACAAAATCTACTGCTGAAAGAGAGATAAACCTACAAATTTAGAGGGTAAAACCCTTTACCTGGCAAAACTGGTTTGGCGCATGTTGAGAGAAGTGAATCGATTTGGGAAAACTGGGAAATATTTCCTTGAATTGTTTAGAACTGAATAAGTATATAAGAACATTTTAGTCATCTCTATGTTGTAGGTCATATTTTTTATGCCGAATTATTGAAACTAAATAAATTGCAGGTGGTTTAGTAAAAATTACTACGTAGAATTATATCTCTCAAAATACATACCTAACGATGAAATGGCAAATATTTTTAATTGGTATTTTCACGAGCCTCCTCCTTGAGATGTGGCTACCAGAACTCCAGAAAAGTATAAATATCACATTTCTTATTGTCTAAGAGATTGGGTCACAAATACGTCATGGAACCGTTTTCATATTCTAACACGAAGCTTAACGAAACTTAACGAAATTAAGCGAACGAAAATTAATGTTGTTGATCTGCCAAAAGCAGATTCGCACGCTAGGACCCCCCACACCTTGGAAAGTATAATTATTTTTCGTTATGTCATGTCTGAAACTTTTTATGCTGTTTTAAAATTGCAGTAATTTAAAATAAATTGTTCTATCACCTTCTCACAGACTCATTGCAAATCTGCCGGGGGGTTAGATATGTGCCAGAGTAACGGCCAATTTAAGTTTTATTAAACATAGAAAATGGTCTGCCAGTGATCCGATGGGACGGGGTTCTCTGTCCACGTCGAAAAATGCAGGAAATTGTGGTCATCTGGTGGGCTAAAATAACTGACTTGGGAAACTAAACATATCTTATCTACTATATCGTTTACGAACTGCACTATTGGCCTAATTCGAGAAATAAAGATTCATGTGTTTAAAGTTTTAAGTGGTTGTTGAATTGAAGGCTTAGTAGTTGGTGCATTAGGGAATAAGCATTACTAAAATACTTTATAAGAGTTATGTAAATAATAACAATTATAAACTGTTTTAAAATTAGTGCTATAACTGAAAATCTGTATTTTTCGAGTTGTGTCAGTGTTGCAGTTCACGAACGATATGTGCTCTTGAAGCAGATGAAGACCTTTACATTTATAGAACCCTTAAATTTTCTGATAATACCATGGTTGAAACTCTCAGCGTAAAACCCTGTTTTTGAGTTGAACAAATGTTCGAGAGAGTGCGAATATTTGTTCAGAATATTACTCTGTGTGGACAAAACTATTTCAATTACCTTGACTTTTCTAGTACATTGAAAATAACCGATTCAAAAATTATAAAGGCACCGTTGTTATTTACCAAACTACAAGATAAGAAATTTCTACAATGATTCAAAATGATTAATTTAAGTTGAAATGTTGTAAATAATATTTTTTATATTAAAAAAAATGTTGTGTCACCCTTAAGGTGTTGTCACTCGCGGCAGTTCGCTATATGTTTTTTATTAACACTAGATTAATTAGTAATGTTCGTGATTCGTAATCCCTGTTAAATAATTTTGCATTCGTAGCTGATACTATTTATATTTATGTAATAAATCAATCAATAATGATGCAGGATTTTTATGAAAGAAGTGAACATATTTCATGAAAATTTGGTGTATGCGATGGTGTAGAAGAAGAAATCATTTCTTTAGAGAAAACATCTCGCGAATAAATGAGCTAGCTGCTTGCCTAAAAATGCAGCTCTGAGGGAAAAAAACCCAATAATATTGTGTACTATAACCATCACTTTAACGGTATTTATTATATACGTCGGATTTTTGGATTATGAAAAGATTAGCATTCTGATAAAGTATTCTGATAATTACATTGCAATCGTGTCATAGTTTTTGTAATGAAGTATTTTTATTACAATTGTGAATGAAATCATGAGAAATTATTTCCTAATGTTGGCCACAATGAATACGGTTTACAGTTTACCAACATTGGCACTTGGAGGTTGTACTCGGCTGACACATTCTGCTTATTTGACGGACTGACCTTTGTGAAATGTATACGAAATTTATATACTTTGCGTAGCAAAAGCAAATATACATCACATATATACAACATTAATGACGAATATACCTGTTCATATCTCAATTAACATGCTCATTCTTTCACATCTTGCGTTGTCCACTTTGCAAATATCCCTCTTAGTGATAAGTTGCCAATAAGAAAAACACAGCTTAGGAGACAGAATGCTGTCAACATAAGCGAAAGACAATGTGCTCAGAAAACATTTATGAAAGAACAAACGAAAGGTAGCACAAGTTGTGGTTGTTAGTAGGCACGTTTGGACGTTGCGCAGAAACAAGCATGCTTCTTGCATCGACGATTATTTTTGCGAATAACATTTAAAACTGGGTGATTGCTGTTGCTGCACATCGTGGTGTGTTGGGCTTGCCGTGGAGGGGGCGCGGGGACTCACCTGCCACCGCCAGAGCACGAGCACGTCGCAGGGCGGCGCGCAGCAGAGGCGGGTGGCCAGGCTGACGCTGCGGTTGCTGACGCTGCGGGCGCGCAGCGGCGTGAGGCCCGGGCCGCGGGAGGAGGGCGCGAGGGCGAGCGCAAGGGCGGCCCCGGGCGGCGGCAGCAGCAGCGCGGGCAGCAGCGCCGCCAGCAGCAGAGCCACCACCTGGACGCACTGCGAGGGCGGCGCGGGCGGCGCGGGCGGCGCGGTGCCCGCACACCGTCCGCCTCGGGGCATGGCGCCGCGACTGCCACCGCCCCGCCCGGCCCCGCCCGGCCGCAGCCGCTGGCGTTGCGGCCGCCGCGCTTCCGGGAACTCATGCCGCACTTCCGGCCGCTCCCGCTGCTTCCTCGTCGTCTACGCCCGCGGCCTCAGTCCTTGCCGCCGCCGCCGCCTCCGCCGCCGCCACCGCCACCGCCGGTCACCTCATTCCCCGCCAGCCGCGGAGACGCCTCTGCCAAATGCGCTAGCCTTCTCGCATTCTGTCGGGAAGCGGGGCTTATTTCACATGTGTTACTCTTGTGTTTATGTGAATGAATAGAACGCATCTGCTACGTATTACGTAATGCCCATTGTCTGACATGTCCTGTATGTACTTCATCTCATTTTTCGTTTCTTATTTTTTATATTATTTATTTTTTACAGGAAGTGTTAAACTAAAATGTGTAATGACTATTTGATCTTTAACATGTTTGCTCTTCCTGTGTGTTAAAATTTATTCGTCGATTCTCTGGAGACTCCTAATAATCTGGTTCGAGTTAATACTCCCTATTAGAATGATATAGCTGCTAACTATAAATATTGTTTAAAGAATTTTAATTGTTTTATATGTACAATGGGTCATTTTATCTAATGACTGTTCTACTATTGGAATTAAAATTTCTGTACTTAGTATATCAAATGCGTTTTTCATTTTTATGTTCCTTGGGAAACGGAAAAAAATTCTTTATATTCCAATTGTAGAGTAGTCTTGTTGACTGTTATTCACTCAGATCACAATTATTTCAAGTTCTAAGTATTGTTTGTGTATATACTTTGAGCGTTTTTAAATAGAATGTTGGATGGTGTCGATAAACCATTTATACAGGCTACAAAAGCTCTCCATTTACTCTCAAGCGTGTACAAAAATTTCATGAATTCTGTAAAATCTGTGTTGCAGGTAAGAAACCGCGAGGAGATCCTGGCATGCGTGTAATGCTGTAAGTACAGCGTGTAGCCTGAACTCAAGATCCTATAAATATGAGTTCAATATCTCATTACGCCTGAATATTCTCAAAATGTCTTCGACAATAATTTTAGAGTAGAAGAAAGTGGGAGTAATAAAACACTTATTTCATAATATTTTCTCAGTCTTCTTGTCAATACTTGGTAATGAACTTTCCTAATAATTTATTGACTTACATTTTCATTGCATATAAAAATATTTCTCTCAAATCAATTGAGCTTGTGTAAATTTATTTTTTATTTGAATATAAATTTCACAGATGTTCGTCTCACTGTTGAAATGATGATCGTCAGTTTTTGATAGCCAAAAAGTACATACTCGTGAGTCACAGCTGAAGGATAAGCTTGCTTTTGATATTTAGAAGTGTAATATTAGTTTGCGGGTTATTTAATAACCGAGCCCTGCCGGTTGGCAATTAAATACTCTAAAAAGTCCTACATTAAGGTGAAGGTGTGAATTAAATTTGGGGAAAACAATTCCGTAGCTTTAGGAATACCTTCTTCACTGTCACGAATTTTGTAGATACTTAAGTCAGTAAATATTGGCTGCTTTCTCTTTATGAACTTCCATTCAGTTCTGTTTGTTAAAGCAGCTACCTGGAGAGGCTCTTTTAAGGAAACTTCTTTGTATCTCTTTCGAGGGAAGAGAAATACAGGTTGTACAGCATTCAATATTGAGCTAATAGTTAAATTAAGAGAACAGTGATTTGTTATCCTTATTGAAGAGATGTGACTTGGCCAACTTGGTATTCTTCACGCTTGGTACTGACTACAGGTGCTATATTGTGTGTATACTTGTTTTGTGTCAGTTAAAATAACAACCTGATGCAATTTACGATGCTTATATACTTTATTAAATTAACTATTAAAGAATACACCCACATTGAGGTTATTGAGACTTTGGCTCATTATAAACTTTGGAGACCTCCGCTTATGTCGAACCATAAATGACCTAATCAGTCAACTAACAAAATTTACATTTTGCCCCAGAATTGAAGAGATGCTATTTGTTGTGCTTTTGCATTTTGGAAAGTGATTATTCTTACTTGTCTTGAGGTCGATCAAATTACTAGCTGATGGAAGATAACCAATATCTAATGCCTTCTGTTTATTAGAAAACACAATATTATAATTCAAATTGCGAAGAAAAATGATCTTCTTATTGTCAGCAACATCACATTTCTTCGTAAATCGTTAAAGAACAGTTTACCTCTTATTGACTAACTAAGCAGGCTAGAGTGGATGGTTATTTGAAGGGATGGCTTTTTTTGTTTTTCTTCTTTCACATTAGTGGCATTTTTCCACATCATCAAAAAAGTATTACGCAGTTTTGTTCCCCCGTGTGATGCATGGTAAGCAATTATTCGGCCTTCTTGAGCAACGTTTTTAGAAAGGTGTGACAACGCAGCACTTGACAATAAGTCAAAGGCAAAATATTTTGTGTCCCATACTTCCCAATTCTCTTGTGCTTTCGACCGTTTTGAAAATGGTTTCTATAAATTTCTGGATACAGAACCAAATTACATGAAGACCTCATTTAGTAGAAATTGCAGATGAAAACTTTCTGATTGTCGGTAATATTTATATTAGTAAAAAAACCTATCATTTACGTCATTATCATTATACGTACTTTAATTATCCTGTTCGCTCATTTCTTTAGTTGCAATCCTAGAGTCAACATGAGTAAATATTCCACAGTGGTCTCGACGTCATGTGAACCTGCCGAGCAGCACAATCTCGAATATCCTGATAAAATGGGAAGGTGTGACAGGCAACCTTCTCCACATTCATGTAAATGTTTATTACTGGTGGATTTGACAGGCACCAAAATTACACAAATGTGTTTTTTTTAATATTTCCCACGATGTTAATATTTTACGGGTGTTTATTTATGCATTATGTTGCCTAAAATTCTGACTACAAAGTGATTCAAACGACTTCTTTTGAAGTTTCTTCAAAACCCAAAAGTTTTCTGTGAAAATGAGGTCAGGGTTGCGCATTGTCAGAATCGCGAATTTCCCGGTGGTGAATGTAGTGCCATGCGCCTATCTCCCACTTGTACTTTTCCAGGGGAAATTCATCCCGGAGTGGGCACCTGGGTACTAGCCTCTCTATCCGCACTCCCCGTGGGCGTACAAGGCCGCCCTTGGGCTGGTGTCTTGATCCCGCCAGAACACAGTTTTTCCTCTCGGTAACCTCCCTTTACAAAGCCTGGCTTGGGCCGCCCTGCCAGCTCAGAGCTCCTAGCTTTCCAGGCTAGTACCCGAGTCAAGACCCCCCCACCACTCACACGCGCCGAGACAAATCCCTTCTTTATGCCCAGAGTATTGGGACGAAGCCAAGAGCCCAACAGTGGACAACTCGAACTAGGGTTCAAGCGACTTGGGGCCTCCTTCCCGTCTCCTCACTGCCCACACGTTTAGGCTGTTGACATGAGTATCACCAGAACCTAGGCAACCTGACCGTCACGTCACTGTGGGGCCGTGAACTCTGCACGTTTCCGCCGGACGTCCATTTGTGGATTCCAGAGCATTCCGAAGAATCTCCTTCACCCATTCCTGCCTATAGGTCAACGTGCCAGGGTCCCGACTGGTGGGTTTCCGGGCGAGTCCCGGCAACCAGGAGCTTAGCATCACCTACTCACTGCCTCCACCTTGAAGCTAACGGCGTGAGTGTCACCATGAAACTCAGGGTCCGGGTGGTCAGTGTCAAGTGCAAACACCTACGCAGCCACGATGCCGCCCCACCCTACGGGGGCTGGAAGCGAACGGTCCGCGGCTCTTTTATTTGAATACTACTCAGGCATTCCCCTGGTGTAGATTGGAGAAATCACAGAAAACTACGGATAAAAATAGCTGGTCTCCAGAATTCTTCTCCCGTCAGCGGTTGAATTCGTTCTAGATACATATGTAACTAGTGTCGAAAATCCTGTCACCGTCGGCACTCGAAACGTAGGACCGCGGTGCCTCAGAGGCACTGCTATGACGTAAATTGATGCCCTAAGCCACATAAGCCGGTGTTTGTTCTCACGGATGTACGAACAGTTGAATTGGGCAATCAATGCATAAGAAGCTGCGCAGGAAACTACGTCATGGAGGCGGCCGCCCACGCGTCGCGTCGCGTCGTGTCTGGCCCGGAGGCGCCGGTGACGTCCTCCGCAGCGCTCCCCCGTGACGCACAGCTGCCCCCTGTGACGCGCTCTTCCTGCGGGAAACGCCGCGCCGCGCCGGCGCCGTCTCTGTCTCTTCACGAGAAGAAGAAGAAGATCCCTTGTAGAAAGTCTCTGACTGCTTGCGTTCTATCCACGGACGCGCCAATTCTTGTGATGGAATTACGTCTGGATGTGAGCGCTTCAATTGAATTTGAATCGGTGTTTGATAATTTAACAGTGATTGACAATAACAGTCGTACATTTCGTTGATGCATTTAGTCTAAAAGGCGGAATTTTAAAGTGAAATATGTTCAAAAAAGCTAGTTCTGAATTCGTTGTGAAATCCCAATTGAAGCCTTTATTTCAAACGACCCTCTCACCGATAACGATTTTACAGTAATAAAGTCTAAGGATTCAGGTAAAGCTGTCGGTATGTACATGCAGATCAGTATTCTCTCAAAAACAAGAACAATATCTGTTTAGACGAAAGTTCTGACGGCCAGTCTGTGATCAATGGTAGCGCCTAAACCGTTGAAGCTATTTTGTCCAAAATTGATATTTCCTGTTCGATTTAAATGAACTCGAGGCCCCTTAAGTTTGAAATGGATATTTTGATTTTGGGGCATCTATACTAATATACAAAGACAGAAGTTCATTTACTTACGGCGCGATAATCTGTGAATCTCGGAATTTTTGAGATATAATTGTCTAAGTGGTTAATGGCTCCTTTTTGTCCGCCACTATTTATCAAGGATCCTAAAACATGTACTCAAATTCAATTAAAATTACTTTAAGTATTTTTAAACTTCGATTGACCCGGAAAGATCGATTTCAAACTTTTCTTTATAAATACACGAGGAGA